TTAATGTATGATATTAATAAGGGGACAGTTATTTTAATTCATATTCGAAGTTTTTCATCGAAAAGCAACACTAATCGCAAAGGAACGACTTGATTAAAATTTACTAATAATGTCTCAACTTCACCGATTTTATAGAGTTGTAAAAGGAAAATGTCTTACATTTATCCGTATGCTATGACGTATTCCTTGCTCCTATGTCCAAGAAGTGAATTGTTTAATCTCTTATACTCTATTAAAAATTCTAAAAAATGTGAGAATCATTGATTTAGTGACGGAAGAAAAAGTTGAAAAGCCCTTTTTCTAACTTAGGAATCAGCTGTAATAAATAAGTTAACCTGTGCTACTTCTGTCAATTAAAAAGAGCGAGTCTATGTGTAATTTGATTTACTGCTTATGAAAAAGTTTAAATGGGATCGGGCGTATTTAAAGTGTTATTGAAGCTTTCATAAAATTCTAATCCATAAACTAATAAATTCATGTTAAACCCAGTGACATAAAAGTAAATTAATAAAAGAGACTCATTTTTTGTAAGATATTATTATTCTTTCCAGCTATATATCCACATATTCGAATACTATTAATCAAGAGAAAAATATATCTTCCATTTTTCAGTTTTAGAAACAAATTAAATACATAGATTCCTCTTTTTCCTTAGAAGACCATCTATAAAAGTGATCGGTATTTCTCAGAACAGCGAATTTCACAAAGATAAAATTATTTAATTTTATATTCAAATAATAAATTCCAATCAATCGCTTAAATGAAGATTGGTAAGAGGAAAATTGTAAATCCCTCAGGATACTGACTAGAACATAAAAACACAAAATTGCATTCTGTAGCTTAGCAGTCGTTACTCTTATCTTGTAGATATAGCATTGCCTGAAATCCATTTTTATTCGAATTCAAATTATTGTTTTAAATTCAAAATATTATAACTTACATTGAGTTAAAGTTGTGAAAGGAATCCCTACGATAAGATTTAAACAGTGTCTTCAGTATTCTTATGCTGCTATGAATATATTTGCTCTTCTGTGTAATATTATTTTTAAATTACAAGTCTATTTGTCCCTTATAGTGTCTTACGTTTTGGTGGCTAAAAAATTTTCAATTTTGGTTACAGTAAAGCATATGATCGAGCTTCTCCATATGATTTAGGTCGGCGAAAATAATATTAGACTTTTGCCGGACAAGATGGGCCATGCCGCATAAAGGCAAATATATGCCTTTATGCTGCATGTACCATCATTTTTATCAAAGCTTCATAAAGGCGTACCATCATTTTTATCAAATCTTTTTCGATATAATTGAAGCCCTAGCGCCCATTGTGTGCTCAACCAAACCAGATGCTTATGTGTATAATCAGCTCCCAGACAAACCAGTTTTGCCTCAAAAGTTTCGAATAAAATCTTTTCCCCAAATATTGATGTGCTTTTGCACATAGACGCTACACTGCCGATAACATCTTGCGACTGTGAACTTTCCGCAAGTGCTTTGAAAACGTTAGAAAATTATAATGGAGCTATAAAGTACTTCTCCCGCTTTCCTAGCGTGCCTTCGTGGTATATTGGGCACACTGAGCCGGCATTTCTGAGGTCCTTGGTTCGATTCTCAGCGAATGCGATTGCTCATTTTTTTATCTCTCTGGTTTCCAAAAATTCCTAATGTCTCTACAGTGGCGACCGAACTAAAAGGGTGTTGGATGAGGTTTCTCCACACCCAGGATCTGGCGATTGGTTCCCCTAAAAACCTCAGTCGCTCATTAAAAAGGGGAGTATATAAGGTATTTCTCCCGCTTTTCTACCGTGCCTCAGTGGTGTAGTGGTTTTGCAGCGCTGGGCCGGTATCCAGAGGTCCGTGGTTGGATTCCCGGCGAAGGCGGTTGCTCATTTTTCATCTTGCCTGCTTCCGAAAGCAGCCTGCTGCCTGCAGGTCGTCCATACTCCTCCGGATGTGGTCAAGGTGACAGCCGAGAATGCGTCAGAAGGGGGAGAACATGGACCTTATAAGAGATAGACTAACCCAGTGGGCGGGGCGTTACAAGCTTATTAATTTCAACTTCGAAAGGAGAATGATTGAGCTCATTACTTCATTCATCACAAATAGAAGCTTTTCTGTCTCCATCGGAAAAGACGTCTCTGACACTAGAAAAATTAATGCTGGTATACCACAGGGCAGCATTTTAGGACCAATTTTATATTTATTATATGTTGCAGACTTCCCGCGCGACCACTTGGATAGAAATAACTTTTTAGGATGTTATGCAGAAGACACAGCTTTAGCTGTGAAGTCTGCTAACGCAAATCATGCTTTAACATAATAAGCTTCAGGACATTGTGCCCAATATTGAATCCTGGTATACTAAATGGAGGATATCGATCAATGCGCAAAAGTCGCAATTACTTGTCATCAGGAGAAAACATACACGGACCCCACTCAAAAGGAAACTTTATCTTTTCAATGAACAGGTGCCGCAAGTCACAAAAGCCAAGTACCTCGGGGTAGTACTGAATCAAAACTAATTTGAAACGACCATATCACTAATGTGAGGAAAAAGACTTTCGCTGTAATCAACAGTTCAAAGCCCCTTCTTAACAAGTTTTCAAAATTAGATCTGTGTCGAAAGCGGTTTGTGTATCTAATGAACATACGTCCTATCATTACATATGCTTCGCCAGCCTGGAATACGACTAAAAAGAGAGACTTGTACATACTGCAAGTAATTCAGAATAGAATACTTAGAATGATTAGTAATGCTCATTATTACGTCAGCAACGCCACTCTACACAGAGACACAAACACTTGAAACTTAGTACAACTGAGCAGCATTTCCACAAACTCAACAGGAATTTCTTCATGAAAGCTCTTAACTGTGCACATTTGTCTAATTTAAACACACTACATTATACAATTCTAGACGAGGACTGTGAAATTCGACCATTAGCGGCCCACCTTGCAAATGACTCTAACTTTCCTACTTAATGATTAGTAGTGTGCAATATATATATATATATATATATATATATATATAGTTAAATATCTTGTATATAGTGTACATATTGTATATATTTTTCTGTTATATTTTTACTCTTTCTGTATTTGTATTGTACTGTTACTTTAAGACATTATGCTTTTTCTTCAGTTAACTTAGGACATTCCACTTGCTGTCTATGATCGCGCGATGTCTCGGTCTTCTCCTTTTTTCCACCTCCTCCGCTCCCTATGGGACACCACGGGCAGATAGTACCATGTGATGCGCCCATGTGGCAAATTTGATTGAGCCGGAAAAATTACACACTGTGTGGTAATCCGGCAATAAATTAATCAGTCAGTCAGGGGGCGGAGCGCGCGTCACCCACATGTCCGCAAGAAAGAGTAGGGACGATCTGGTTTACTTTAACATTGAAACCTATAGCGTTTGCATCACATAGTTGTTTTTACTTATTAAATGTGATACGTTGTATAAGTGATGAGGTTATGAAAGTCACAGTTGTTTTCAAATAAGATTTAATATATCTCTTTAAAGCACTTTTTACTGCATTCTTTTCAAGCGTAATTCTTGTATAAACACCTTTACTTTGGTAAAACAGTAAAAACTCTAAACACAAAATTTATGAACTTACTTTTGAGTACAAATAAAGTAAAATTAAATAGTAATGATAGTACATGAAGCTTTGAAACACATAAGGCAAAATTAAACAAGATCTGATATATTTTTAAAAATATTTACGAGAATTTTCAGGAAGTGGTTTTTAAAATTTTTATAACATTACAAGACGATCCTTTATTTGATCATATGATCATTAATTATTAACATTATAAGATAATTTTTTACTTTAATAATTCATAAAATTCGCAGCATAAACTTTTCTCTTGTAATGAAAATAAAAAAAATCTGGAACCACTCAGATTTTATGTTACGCTCAGAGGGACGTTTTATAACGCTTTGTGTGCTACCTGTATTTATTGAACATCATGATCTTAGCACGTAAAGCACACAAAATTCAATTCAACAGCAGTATGACAAAATATTTCAAACAGCATACCTTTAGAATTTCCGCACTGGAGATAAAAATTTTATTTTCCATACAGAGTTGTCATTGCTGGCTTTGAACTCACTGAGTTTCTTAATCAAAAATTCGTTAAAGTGTTACAAAATACAAAAGGTATTAAAAGAAATTCTAAATTCGGCTGTTCGGGTAGAGGATTACGTTATTCAAAATTTGATGGTTCTAGATACCGTCATTTTTTCACAGTGCGAGAAACATGCATGTATTCATGCAGATTATTCATTATTAAATTTCTTTAAATATAATACAAGGCGATAATATTTAGCGGCAGCAATTTGCAAAGTGAAACGGACGTTTGTAATGAAACAGCGCAAAATGCCGTTTCAAAAGTATAGCTTTCTGGGCTACCACCCCTTTGGCTAATAAATTAAATTCACAGTAAATAAAGAAATCTTATGCAGAACTAGAATTAAATTTTAAAAAAAATCACTATAAAATGTTAGGACAATCAATTAATACAGTTTGCAATTTTGACATTAGAATTAAATGTATAAAAATTATTAAGGTGTTTAAAAGTGTTTATCACTACGATGTATTGGGAAATATAATTGAAATAAAACTCCTTTATAAAAAATATGCTATAATATTCACCTATAATCTTAAATAAGCTTTCAAAAATCATACTTGGAATTTTAAGCAAAAACTTTCAAAAATTCATTTTTAGGTATTTTAGTATTTTTTACTTATTTACACCAATAAAAATTATAAGAGAAAATTCTTTGTTTGAAATTTTCAGATTTAAAATATTACTTTCTAAAAGAAGTAGTTACACATTTTCTTCCAGCACAGAAAAAGCTAAAAAAAAATTGCCAGGCCTGAAAGCATGCAACAATTTTATAATAATTTGGAACGTTAATTATGCTTTATAAATATTCTAAATTAAAAAAAAAAATAATCTCAGTTTCTAAAATAAAAAAATCTAAAAATTCTAACTTGTGAAATGAGGCGCTACAACAAGGATGTCAAACTCGCGGCCCACAACAAATATTTTTGCGGCCCGGCCAATATATCGGCAAATAATAATATATAATAATAAAATAACATATCGACGAAGAAAAAATGAAATGTTTACTGCTGAGTAATTAACGATAATTTATTGTGTTGTTATATTACTCACAGCGAGCTGACACACACACTACTTAAATTACAAATGCGTGTGAGTAGCTTGCGTTCACCTACCTTCGGCTTTTGGGGGACACGTGCACTCAGAACTTGTACGCATTCCCCGATAGCCGAATATGGCCGAACTCGTGGTCTCAGTTTTCCAATCATAGTTTTGTACGATATATTGGTGCATGCATGTGCATGCACTTTGCTTTATTATTAATTATTACTTAATTCACATTGTTACGGATTTCATAGTTATTTATTTAGTTAGTTTTTTTATTTAGAATTGTAATTAGATTTGCTTCATGTTGCCTTAACAACGCAGACGATTTTTGAAAAGACAGCTGCGTTGGAAGGTTAAAAATAGAACAGCGCGTGCATTTAATACCTAATAAATAAATATCTCGTAATTGCTGTTGCCATCCACAAAAATCCAGATATTTATAGATGTTTCCAGTATATTCGAGAAATTAATTATAAAGCTTATAAAAGCCGAGAACAAACAACTCATTTCAGTAGTAGCTGTAGTTCTAGCGAACTGTTTGTTTACTTAATGCTGTGATTGATTTGTAGCGATTTCTCTGTGAGATAGAATTAGTTTCTCTGTTTTGAATTGATTTTTGTTAAACGTTTGACATTTTGTGATATTGTTAGAATATTTTTAAGAAATATTTCAGCATTTTGATTTATCTCTTGTGGAAAGAATAGAAAAATAAATTTTGTTAACTTTTTAACGTTAACCGTGTTTTATTCCAGCCCTTTGTATTCAGTATGTCTATATCAAACCAAGTGGTACTAAAATTAAACAAAAAATCGCTGACGAACATAGAATATTCCAAGTAAAATGGGAATGAATTAGAATATTTTGCTGTGAAATAAAAGATAAAATAATCTGCTTGATATGTAATAATACTATTAATGTATCAAAGTTATATAATATTAAACGTCATTACGAACAACACAAATCGAAATATAACAATTACGAAGGATTAAGAGAAAAGAAATGTTGAAAGAGCTCAAGTTAGGAGTGAAAAAGCAACAGTCCATGTTTAGTAAAGTATTGCAAGAAAGTGAAGCGGCGGTACGTGTAAGCTACGTCTTGTTCGAGTTGATAGCTAAACATTCGAAGCCTTTTACTGACGGTGATTTCATCAAGGAATGCCTAATGAAAGCTGGAGAAATTGTTTGTCCTGAAAATGTGAAGGCTTTTCAATCAATTTCATTGTCTCGAAGTACAGTTGCGGAAAGAGTTACTGATTTAGCCGCGAATTTAAGTGATCAGATCAAATCAAAGCAAAATCATCTAGTTTCGAAAAGTTTCTCCATTGCCTGTGACGAGAGCACGGACATTAGTGGCAAAAGCTCAATTAGCAGCAGTGTTTCTTCGTTCTTGTGACAAGAATTTTAACATTTTTGGGGAATTACTGGAACTAACTAATACCGATGCCTGGTACTACCACAGGAGAAGATATATTTACTTGTGTTTTTTTTTGGAGTTCTGCTGCAGAAATACAATCTACCTTTGGCAAAATTAAATTCTGTAGCTACAGATGGCGCTCCATCAATGACGGGATAAACAAGGGCTTCGTACCATTACTAAGAAAAAAACTTAGTGAAATTCACGGTTCAAAACATTCATCATATGCATTGTATTATACATCAGAAGTTCTATGCACGAAAGACGACGAAAGTAATAAATATGGAGAATGTTTTGTCATATATAAAAAAAGTTATAAAATTTTATAAGATCTCGAGGTTTAAATCAGCGTCAATTCACTGCTTTCTTAAATGAGTTAGATAGTGAATATTCGGGTTTGTCCTACTAACCGAGGTATGTTGGTTTTATCTTGCTCCAAGATTCTCAAACAATTCTGGGATTGAAAGAAGAAATATGTCAGTTTTTTTAAAAACGAAAAATCAAGACGTAAGTTTGTTTTACGATCCAATATGGATACAAGATTTAACTTTCTTGGTTGATATAATCAAACACTTAACCGATTAAATTTATCGTTACAAGGAAAAGATCATATCATTACGAAACATGTTTGACATAATTAAAGCATTCAAATGTCAACTAGTTCTTTGGGAAAAACAACTTAAAAATGAAGATTTGACGCACTTCCCGACGTGCAGCATGAACAAATCAAGTTTAGATGATACTTGTTCGTATCAAAAATACGCAGAGAAAAATTTGCAAATTTAACAACTGAATTTGAAACGAGATTTTAATGATTTTTAGTGCCCTCGAAGACAATTTTTTTTTTTTTTTTTTTTTTTTTTTTTTTTTGTTTTCTTCGATTTTCTCAATAAGTATTGACTCAGTACCCAGCCATATGCAAATGGATGTGATCGAGATTCAATGCAACTCAAATTTGAAAGGAAAATTCATTGAAGTGGGCGTGCCTGAATTTTACAAATATTTACCAGCCAGGTTTGAAAATACTCGAAAATTCGCATTTGAAATTATTTCCATGTTTGTAGCACTTATCGGTTCGAGCAGTTATTTTCAGTCATGAAAGGTAATAAGTCTCCTATTAGAAACCGTATTAATGATGCTCATCTTGGGTCAAGGTTGAAAGTTATCACCGGAAAACAAAATTTTCTCCCGAAATAGGAGAGATAATAGCAGAGAGAGATGTCAAGTATCAGGACGTAAACATTAAATTTTTCTTGTTTTTTTTTCTTATATATATATTATATATATATGTTTATTATTGTATTATTCGAAATAAATCTACATTTCTATGAATTTGAAATTTTTATTTTAATTAATTTTTTTTTTTCTTTTTTTTTTTTTTTTTCGGCCCGCCTAAAGTTAACATTAAACCTTATTTGTTTGGGCCCAAGTGTACCTACAATGTCTCACAAAAGTGATGGGACACTTGTGCTTTACAAAAGGAACTGTAGTAAAAAAATTTAAAAAAACATGTAAAATTTTTTGGGTGGGTTTGTGTTTCATACTTAAATTTAGTAAACATTATTACATAACATACATTTTCTCAAAATATTTAAATATTAATTTAATAAAAATACAATTGTTTAGAACGGAGCAAAAAATAGCTCACATAAGTGATGGGACACTTACTTTTCCATCAAATATTTATCCAAAAATTTTACTTTTTAAAAGGTTTTAATATTTTGTTGGATTTCCTTTTACTTTTAAAACATGATTTAATCTTCTTAGGATCGATTCGACTCATTTTTTTTTGTGAATTCTGGAGTGATTTTATCCCATTCTTCTTGAAGCACCGATTTTAATTGTTGTTTTGAAGAAATGGTGTGTTTGCGAATTCTTGATTCCAATTCTTGCCAAATATTCTCTATGGGATTTAAGTCTGGAGATTGTGGTGGTGTTTTTATTATTTCAGGACAGTTAAACAGCAACCAGAGTCTAACGTTCAAAGCATCAAATTTTGATTTAAAATATCAATATACTGGTACTGATCCATTATACTGTCAATAAAAACAAGATTACCAACTCCAGCGGACGACATACACCCCCATACCATAACTCCTCCTCCACCATGTTGTACTGTTGGCACCAAGTTCTGTTTGCGAAATTCTTCCCTGGGTTTTCTCCACATCAAGATTCTCCCGTCAGAACCAAATATATTAAATTTACTCTCATCAGCAAATATAATTTCATTCCAGTAATCAGAATTCTTATTGATGTTGGATTTTGCGACCAGTCTGAGTTTTCTATTCCTTTCACTTACGAAGAATTTTTCCTGGCTGCTCTATCGTGATATCCAGCAGATCGAATTACTCTTCTAATAGTCTCAAAATTAACAATCACTCCATATAATGCTTGTAAATCAGCAGCAACTTTAAAACACTCATTTTTGGGTTTTTTTTTTTTTTTTTTTTTAATATTTCGAACAATAATTCGCTTTATTCCATTGGATAGCTTTGATGGTTGGCCAGGTCTTCTTTTATCCTGAATCATATGATTCTTTTTATATCGTTTAATGATATTGAAAACTGTTGAATGACTCAAGTTAACTGTTTCAGCAGTTTCTCTAATAGATTTTCACGTTCAATATGGAAATTAATAACTAATTTTCGAATTTCAGGCAAAGTTTTTTTTCGTTTAGTATTCATGGCTGCACAGAGCTAAAAAACACAAAAATTCCAAAACAAACTGGAGAGAAATACTGAAGACGATTTTATAAATTATTGCCAATTGCTTTTAAGTAAAAATAAAAAGCCCCAAAAATATTTTTATTGTATTACGTAGTAGTATCTAATGGTGTCCCATCACTTATGTGAGCCATTTTTTGCTCCGTTCTAAACAATTGTATTTTTATTAAATTAATATTTTAATATTTGAGAAAATGTATGTTATGTAATAATTGTTACTAAATTTAAGTATGAAACACACCTACAAAAAATTTTTACATGTTTTCTTAAATTTATTTTATTACAGAGTCCTTTTGTAAAGCACAAGTGTCCCATCACTTTTGTGAGACACTGTATGAGTTTGACATCCCTGCGCTACAACGAACTTTTTGTTGACAATTATACACACTGCAATAGCCAACCATTGTTAGTTTCTGCAAGTCGTCCCTACTCCTCCGGATGTGGTCAAGGTGACAGCTGGGAATGAGTCAGAAGAGGGAGAAAAGCCATTTGGGTTGGTCTATTTCTTATAAAGTCCGTGAGGAAGAAAAGCCATTTGGGTTGGTCTATTTCTTATCAGATACGTGTGGTTTGGGGTCTCAAACTCGAGGGAAGCTCCGCAAGATGTTTTAACATTAGATAATAGAACGGTTGTCGCTCTTTCCATTTTACCTAATTTAAACTGATGTGAATATTTATATGAACAGAACCTCTCTAACAACCTGCGAGAAGAATCACTTGTAAAATTAAGCATTTTTTTCCAGATCGCAATTAGTCTTTGCATGTTGCATTAAACAGCAGTGCTAGATATTCATTGTTCACATTTCTATAAATTCTAAGAATTAAACAAAACATAAAATGCACCTAAAATGTTTACGATGCCAAACAATGAAACGAGAAAAGGAATACTTGATTGCTGATCTAAGTGCCTTCTTCCTTGAGCGTTACAGAAAACATTTTTATGGATAAATTTGGATCTTAATGATTCTTAATTATATTACAAATCTACTTTCCTGTATCATTTAAAGTGCGCAAATTGTTAAATTAATTTACCATGAATTTCAAATACGTTTCTCGCTGATTGCTAAGTTCTCGCTTGCTAGTATCAGTGTTACTTTTGCCATTCTGAAAGATGGTGATTTTAATCTGTAATTTTTTATCCAAGCATTTTGTTCCATCTCTAGCAGAGACAAAGTACATTCTGCTTTTATTTTATTTCTGTCGTTATCCTATTATATAATAACCTTATTTTTCTTACAAATTTTTGTTCTTCTGGGCAAAAGACTTCAGTGGGATGGAGTATTTGAAGATGTTTGAATTTATTTATTCTCAAAAAAATACATTTTCCAACTGTGACACATTTCCTCCCAAAATTAAAAGTTTTTGCGGAATAAAATTGTTTATCATGTATATAATTGATATCATTTTTCCTATTTATTTATTACAATGTATGCCAAATAATGTGTGCTTCCGTGTTGCTATTATAATGAAATTTGACATTAGATACTATCCTGTGTACTGATGTGAAAATTTGTATTCCTTATTCAAATACCATGTTTTTACTAATTTTAAAAGGATATGCAATGGATTTTATTTATTAAGTTTTTAAAAACGAATGTAGTATATTGCTATTTGATTTTCAGATGCATATAATCAATGCAAAAGAATAACAGAGGCTTTATATACGTTTTAATTCATACATTTCGAATTAAATATTTTCTAAAACGTGTATTTTCTAAATTTAATTTAGTTCTTTTTGTACTTATTATTATTTATTTTGAACAATATATATATATAATAAATCACTAAAAAGTCGGTGAAAATTTATTGCATCCATAATTCTTAAGACATAGCACATTATCTGTTAATGATACTTGTAAAGCGGAGCTTATTAAGTCCTTATTAGAGCAGTGATCTTCAACCTTTGTTTTTCAGAACCCTGGGATTCCAGAACTAAAAAGAAAAGTTTGAAGAGAAAATTTTAGAGGACTTGTATTACTTGACTAACTAAAATATCTGAAAATATATTTAGTTATCTTTGAAATGGAAGCACACACCAGTAACTTATAAGGAACATAAGTTTATGCCATTAAGGAGTAAATTACACTAGTTTTATGTTATGGTTTTTAATAAAAAATACAATGCCTTTTCTTTAATTGTTAAGGGTTGCGTGGGATTCCCTGAAAAAAACCTTATAGTTTTATGAGTTGACAAAGCTTGAAGACCACTGTATTAAAGCAACATTTAAAAACTAGAAACCAGTTTTGAATGCAGTGCAGAAGTTTTTAAATTATTAGATTATATTTTACTTGCATATAATCCTATTCATGAAAATTCTGCATCATTAATGGGCAACTTTTCATCGGTATTACTGCATGAATTTTTCAAAAGATTTTCTACAATCTTTCATACTTACTATATTTCACGAAATTCATTAGCCTGTAACTTTCATTTACATTTGATCAATTAGGAAAAAGCTCATTAAAATTAATTGTTGTCAGTGAAGGAAAATGCTGTGTATTTTTTTCAGTAATATGTACATTGTTGGAAAAGCTGGTCAAAAATGCCTGTAACATATCTGAAATCTTATTAACAATGGTGATGCTCAGATTAAAATGCATTTATCAATAATTTTCTTCTTTGAAATCATTTATAATTATATTTCTGTTTTTTTTTTCATCTTTTTAATAGTAGGGTTTATTTGTTTATTTACTTTTTATTAGAAATCAAATCAATTTATATTCTAACTGTGGGTAACATATCTGCACTGATAATAATTCTGTTTTTGATTGAATACTAATTGGACAGTACTAAGTTTGTAGCAGTGCTTAAAAGAAAAACCATAAGTCCAAAATAGGTTTTGTTTTTTCAAAGTAATGTTGAACAATTTAATAAAGAAAAGACAGTATTTTAAACTCTTAATATTGGCTTCTAATAGTGATATAAATATTTAAAGTTAATGAAAATTTTGTTGGCATTAAGTTTGGAAACTATTTCAGTCATTAGGTATAAACAAATACATTGAAAAATAATATACTTCAAATCATGCATTATCACTCAAATGCTATACTCTAAAAGACACACACACAGAGAAGCTTTTTAGTGTGTATTCAAAGTATGTATTTTTACTAGGAACTAGTTATACATAACTTATTTTTTGTATTGACTCCAAAGTAGGTATTTAAACAACTGACAAATAAAATAAACTTGACAGATAACAAATGTCATTATTATTGATGATACATGACTATGATACTTGTTGTCACAAGTATCGTTAAATAAAAAATGAAATTATTTATAAAACGAGATACTTTACACAACTTACAGCATTCAGTTAGAAGTTTTATTTTGTTAATTTAAGAAACTGACATTCAGGTTCCTTAAAACATTTTATGGAATTTTACTTGCATATTTTTATTTTACATATTTCAGAATTCTTATCCAGTTTTTTTGTTTTGTTTTTGGATAATATAGGTGAGATATTGTGAGGTGGAGAAAAAAAAATGATTATATAACTTACATGAATGGTCACATGGAATCTAATTTTTTAATGTCTCATAAAATTTGCGTTCATGTTTAGCATGCATAATTCTGATAAAGGTTACCTATCATCAGGTCTTTTGGGATATATTTATTTATTTATTATTTCATTAAATGTCAAAAATAATTTTAGAAATTTTATTATTTTATTAAAAACTCTTTTGCATCGAAGTCACCCCAACACCCGAGCATTCAGACATTGGCTGGACGCCCCTAAACGCCTGAATAATTTCCTACCTAGTTTCCCCCCCATCACTTTACTGCATTGCTCATTGCTTTCAGGTGTTGTAAATGACATATCAATAATTCTTTTGAAGTGCCTAAAAGTAGTTCTGGTATTTTAATGGACTTTCTTTTTCCTTTGTTTAATGTCAATGTTTAGCTTTTGATGCCCGAAGTTGCAATCCTGTTCCAAGGGGGAACTTCACACAGGGTGAAAGCATCCAAGAAAGAGGTTCTCGCTTTACTTAAGTAGGTTATTGTTAGCACTGTAGTATTCGATTTGTCATGGGGAAAGGAAAAGCATTCCAGGAGAAATTCATAGACACAGGCATTTTCGATGCTTGGGTAAAAGAGATTATGCCCTCTCTGTATGTGAAAGAGTTAAGTAAAGAATTAACGCTCTTACATGTAAATGATTTTTAAAAAATGTGAAATATAATTTTTCAGGAATGTGTAATTTATTTACATTAATTTGAATATAAAATTTGTAATAAGTAACATTTGCCATTACCACATTAGCTATTTTCTTCCATTTAAAATTAAATATCAGCTGTAGGGTTTTTGAATAAACTGTTTTCCGTAATTTTTTATTATTCATAGCATTTAAGTCAGGTTTTTATATAATTTGGATTTTAACAATGTCATTATTTATTTTTTTAATATATAAATGGCACAGGATGAATCTAATTATTTTGAAATCATTACTCCATGCCCATCATTGCCACTTGCATTTATTAGTAGGCCATTTAGGCTTACTGTAAATCATTAATATTTTATCTGTGATAGGTTTAGGATGAAATTATTTATAAAAAATTTTCATTCAGTAAAGTAGTGTTTTCATTTGTGTACTATTTAAAACAGCAGAAAATGAATAATGTTGCATCTAAATAACAGTCTGACAAAGCTGTTGAAATGGATGAGGCAAGAGAACTTAATGTGTGCAATGCATTCATGTGATGTATTAACTTATCAGATAATGAGGGTTGCTTGTAGCTACTTTGTTTTCTTCTTACTTCCATGATCATCAGATAGTAGTATGATCTTACCACAACAGCATCAACATTAAATGATTATGCAATTCCAGATTGAAATATTTCATAATACATAGTGAACATGACAGATTATAGTACCTTAAAATATGAAAAAAGTAGGTTCAAATTTAAATATTTCATATTTAAAATTATTGAAAAAGGAAAGTGATTGAAATGTCTCATAATACTACCATATTGGGTTCAGTATTAGATTATGTTTTTTTTTTTTTTTTTTAAATATTCTGAAAACCATCTTTTTCTTTTATGCTTATTCTAACATTTAAGAATTATATTGAGGTATTTTTTAACTTCATATTTTAAAATTAAAAGGTAATTTGTTTTCTTTTAACTTAAAATTTAAGAAGTAAATTAAAAGAAAATGTATTGTTATTATTACTACATAATATTTGTCAAAAAATTGGTATTCGCAGGTGAAGATGCCATTTAATAAAAAATGATGAACAAATCTTTCTGCTAAATATCAGAAGTGAGTTATAAGCATGGGCAAGCACATATCATGTGATGAATGAACTTATGATCCTTGAACCCATTTTGTTTTCTTCTGTGTTTTTTTTTTTAAATGCCATTTGGCCTCTACAGTAATATCAGTTACATTTATTTAATTTTTCCTCGAGATGTGGTATTTATGTCATTTAATTATATTTCTGTGAAATCCATACAATATATCAAGCTTATTAATCAGACCGTCTTGTATAATGTTTTTTATTTCCCTTGTTAAATAATTTGAAGTGTAGCTTTGTCATACATGTGAGTTGTCTTATGTTTGAATTAGTATGGTAGCTTTTTGAGATTAAATACTATATTTAGTTGGTGATGAAAATAAAATGAACATTTTATAATGATATAATTGTTACAATATGCTGATGTGCTTATAATTATGTTGTTTCTGTTATATTAATAATATGTTGTTTTTTTCATTGAACCTTAATATGTTTAACATTTATCTTGACTAATTATTGTATTTATAATTTATCTGAGCTTTTCAGTTAATATGAAATTATCTACAATTTGAGTTATGTTTATTTTTATTATCAAGAATTTCATTCTTTTGGGCTTCAGTAAGGTAAGAATTTAACTGTTTTGGTAAAATTTAAAATGTATACATAAGTTATGTATGTTTCATTTTCTTCAATATTTAAAAATTTGTCAAATGACATTAAGGATGTAAATGCATTTGATGTTCACGTTAAAAACTTATTAGAGTTATATTTGTGTTTAATGATCTAACAGATGAACCTTAAATGCAGAACAAGTTAATGGCTTTTTCAGAGATTTTTTTTAAAGATTAGTAAGAGTCAGATTTGTAACTGGTGCCAGAAAATCATAATTGAAAAAATAAAACTTCACAGTTTTTCATGTACTATTTATAAAGAGCATGTAATATATTATTCAGTTACACAAAACATATTTAAGCTATATATAGCTACAAAAAAGTAGTTTATGTAAGTGACATTTGCAAGTATAAGTGACATAGAATGCAAGTGAAAATTTACAGAATATTTTTAAGTATTATATTCTAATATGTTTTCATGAACTGAAAGATATTAACCAACTGACATTATCATTACTTTCCAGCTTTTCAATGACAAAAATGAACAAAAGAACTTAAATTCCTTACTTATTTTTCTTTTCAGGAGTGTTTTCTGAGAGTGCAAGTAATGTAATTTTTGAACTGAAATCAACATCTGAAATTTCCAAAGAGCAGAAGTCATTTCCTGGTCGTTACCCATGCCCTATGTGTTCATATACTGCAGACTATCTTAGCCGCCTTAAAAGACATCTTGTGACTCATACTGGTGATCATCCTTTTGTATGTTCTGTTTGTCATAAAGGCTTCACTCAGAAAGAGAGTTTGAAAAGGCATTTTACTTGTTTACACTTTGGAAGTACAATTAATAAATAATAAGCAAGTTTTTATTGTTTGCTAAGTGATTTTTTTTCTAGCGAGAACATTGTTTTACAAATTTAGATTAAAAATTTTTTTATTGACGTAAGTTGAAAGAAGAAATAAAATTGTAAATTTTTATAGAAATAGTTTCTTTTTGCTGCTGTATTTTAAAGAATCTAATGTGTTTTATGAAGTTCTATTTTTCTGTTAAAAATGGATTGATAAATTATCGTGAGAGTAAAATCTGCTCTGAATTAACAATCTGATCGCAATACAATTTTCATGCACATAATAAGGAACATGATCACTTGTTTCAAAATTTGATAACTTTCGCTAGTTTTTACTAAACTAAGCTAACTTACTTGTGTACTAAATTATACTATTACTGTATTTTGAAGTTAACAGTAAGAATGAGTATTTGGAATGTTAATCCTGAATTTGGAATGCATTAAAATATTGCAGTCAGAACTCAGTACAGTCAAAAGTCGTTAATTCGGACACCCATAATCCGTAATGATCTATAAATCGGGCCTCAAAGCTACAAACTTTCTGCGCATGCGTCATGTTGAAGCATGCGCATAGGCATTTACGCATGCGTGTAAGACTTTTGCGGCTGCGAATATGCGTGTGCACATGTGCATAATACGTTTATGCATGCACGTTTAATGTATAACGGACGGTATAATCTAAACTAAAATTATCTAATTCAGTTAATGTTGCAGATTGCGTTGTTCCTTAATCTTCGAATTGGATCCAGCTTATTATTTTTTTGTAGACTGTTAGAGCAATTTTATAAAAGTAAGCTTGAACTTTCGATTATGTCAAATAGAATTTCCGATATATATTTACTAATATGTAAAGGATCGACAAAGCGAAAGTATGTTTCCATTAAAGAAAAAGTGGAATTGCTGCAAAAAATGGATAAAGGCATATCCTTTGTTTTTCTAACCATTCTGAAATCTGTTTATCAATTTCACGCTGCTCTGCAGCGGAAGGGGGGAAACCCCGCGGCGTGCAATGAATAATCTAATAATGATCTGTCAGCACTATCCTTACAGATTCGAATAATTATCTGTCAGCACTATCCTTATCTTCAGGGCAGATGTTTTTATTTTATTCGGCTCATAATTCCTTACTAAATGTAATATTTCATCTCGATGTACTCCGTCTTTGATATGATTTAAATCAAATTCCTCGTCATTATAATTCGCTTCTGATAATGAAGAAAGTGACACAGAGGTTATTGAAAACGAAAAAATTTCGATTGACAAATTAGTTGGTGTTCTCGACACAACAATTATAGGACTTGAACAGCAGAAGTTTGTAACTGAACAAGAAATTATGTCTGTTTATAGAATTAAAGAGAAAGTATTATCACATAAAACGAAGCAACTTAAACAACTTACATTGAAAGAAATGTTTAATAAAGTAAACAAATAGATATTAAGCTTTTTTTTTTTTTTTGTAAATTTTATAATTGTTCTTTATTTCATAAATTACGGTTTCATATTTTTAATTTTATAATTTCTGCATGCCATCTTACCAGATTTAAACTAACTTACTTGTGTACTAAATTATACTATTGTTGTATTTTGAAGTTAACAGTAAGAATGAGTATTTAGAATGTTAATCCTGAATTTGGAATGCATTAAAATATTGCAGTCAGAACTCGGTATTAGCATAGCTAAATACTTATGTAGGTAAAAAAAAAAAAATAGTGATTTTAAATATGAAATAATTATTATGTATGCAAAAGTGTTTTAGTATCTTAGGCCAATGGTGGTGAACCTATGACTCGCGGGTCAGACACTGACCCATGACGGCTTTTTAAATGACCCATGCATTAATTTTTATAAACTTATTTTTTTTTAATCATAAAAAAGCAAACGTGCTTCTGTTTTGCAATTTATTGACGTACTTTCTTTGATTTTCAAAGATCGTTCACAGAATATCTTGAATAGAATCTTGTTCACAGAATGTACATAGGAATGATTGCAGTGAATTCTGAACTGTCTTGTCTGGGATTGTCTTGCGATGTTATATAGTTATTTTCATTAATAATTTGTATCATTCAGATGTTTAACTGTAGCTAAAATTCTTATCACTGCTAGGTATTTATTTGCCTAGTATAAATTTTATGCATTCTTATGCCTTAATTCATAAGAAATTTCATTGCAGCACTCCGTTCCATGTTTTTATTCATAAGGTTAGAAGTTGGTGTAATAAATACAACTTGGTTTGCTCAGCTATATTAATGCACTATGCAGTAATAGAAAATATTCTTTTTGGCAAACATGGCCGATCACATATGCTAGGATGTCTGGGTATGATCTTGAGATGAAAAATCTAAGATTTCAAACCTTCTCGTATGAAACCTTTTTTTAAAAAATATAAAATTCCATAGTCAAGAATACGCTTAAAATTCTAACTGTATGTTCTTATCTATGGAATTTTATTATTACATATATATATAGTACAGAGTCCGTAATCCGGACTCGTCGGGACTTGGGCTAATTCCGGGTTAAGGGTTTTTCCGGATTATAGATCATCAATTTAAATCTGGTATGATGGCATGCAGAAATTATACAATTAAAAATATGAAACCGTAATTTATGAAATAAATGCAATTATGATCTAAAGGGTATCAAAAATTTACAAAAAAAAAAGCTTAATATTTATTTGTTTACTGTATTAAACATTTCTTTCAATGTAAGTTGTTTAAGTTGCTTCGTTTTTTGTACTAATACTTTCTCTTTAATTCTATAAACAGGCATAATTTCTTGTTCAGTTACAAAGTTCCACTATTCAAGTCCTGTAATTGCTGTGTCAAGAATACCGACTAACTTGTCAATCGAAATTTTTTCGTTTTCAATAACCTCTCTGTCACTTTCTTCACTATCGGAAGCAGTATTTTCTAGATTTAGAACCATACTACAGATTTCGCCATCCGTTCATTGATTGATTATTGGAGCATTGTCGTTGCAATGAAAAACTTCTGTCTTATCATCTTCATTTATTACCGCTCCTCCACATTTCTTAAAAATTCCAATAACTGGAAAATTTCACCTTTAGTTTGCGATGTCCAAAAACCTTCAAATCGTGGCTATCATCTTCGTCCTCACCGTGAAATATTGTAGCTGGCCATAAATTATGCCTAGCATTGTGATGCTCCACACAGCAAATTTTATGCTAAAATATTTCAAAAAGTCTTGAATAGTCTTGCCATTGTTCAAGAAATTTAACATGAATTAAAATGCTACTTTATATTTGCATTTCAGTGCGCGCACTATTCCGATATCCTTAGGCTGAATGACAGACGTACAGTATGGAGGGAAGAATAATACAGATACATTATCTTTCACTAAAACTTTAAGTGAAGTATGCGCCAAACAGTTGTCAACAATCAGGACTATTTTTGAGTCATCAGGTAAACCAACCAAATTCAAATGTCGCCAAGCCTCAGGTATAAAATGATTTTCAAACAAATCATTCATCAACGCTTGTGTCATCCATGCTCTTTTATTTGCATGATACGAGGGCCATCCAGGAAGTAGATTACGTTTCCGTCTGTGTCCGCTAGGGGCGGGGCTAGCGCGGCCATCTTGGGGTCAGAGCGTTGCGCAGCTCAGTCTGCATCTAGCCGTGCTAGTGAGAGGTTCGTGCTGTGCTCCGTTCAGATACTGTGACGGTTTGAAATGTCTGCGTTAATTGAAAATCCCGCGAGCTGCGAGGTGCGCTCAGTAATATAAGTTTCTGACTGCCAAAAACTGTAAACCGATAGAAATCTATCGGCAGCTTCGTGAAGTGTATGGGGACAACATTATCACTGAAGGTGGAGTGCGTCAGTGGGTCATAAGATTTCAAAATGGCCGAACCAATGTTCACGACGAAGATCGAAGTGGGAGACCCAGCATAGTGACCGCCGAACTTCTCGAAAAAGTCGATGCTAAAGTCCGTGAAAATCGAAATTTCACAATAACGGAACTTTCTTTGAGTTTTCCACAAATTTCGCGAAGTTTGTTGCACGAAATCATCAGCAAAAAGCTTGGTTACCACAAGTTTTGTGCAAGATGGAAGGCAAGAAGAGGTAACGAAGTGGTTGAAGGCGCAGGCGGCCGAATTTTTCGACGAAGGAATTTCCAAGCTCGTACATCGCTACGATAAATGCCTTAATTTGTATGGTGACTATGTAGAAAAGTAGTATTTGAGTGTGGCTTTCATCTGTATATAATAAAATTTGTTTCCTATACTTTGTTTATTTTTTTATTCCAAAACGTAATCTACTTTCTGGATAGCCCTCGTATATAACGGAGAAAATCGTCACTCCTTTAAAATGCTCGAGGTCGTGCATGTTTTCCGATTATGAAAAGTTTGCACTTGTGCATTCGTGCAGCATTTGCGCACGCTAAAATTTGTTAGTCTTGCTTTGGAATCTTTGACACCAGTTGGAGCCTTTTCTGTAGAGGTTGCCAAGGAGTTTCGTGGTACATATTGCCAGAAAGGACCAGTTTCATCAGCGTTGTAAATTTGCTCTGGAGATAATTGTTCACTAGTACAGTCAAAAGTCGTTAATTCGGACACCCATAATCCGGAATGATCTATAATCCGGACCTCAAAGCTAAAACCTTTCTGCGCATGCGCTGCTTTGACGCATGCACATAGGCGTTTAAGCGTGCGCGTAAGACCTTTACGACTGGGCATTTGCATGTGCACAAGCGCAGAACACGTTTTCGCTGCGCGTTTAATGTATAACGGACGGTATAAGCTAAAATTATCTAATTGTCTATTTCAGTTAATGTTGATGATTGCGTTGTTCCTTAATCTTCGAATTGGATCCGGCTTATTTTTTTTGCAGACTGTAAGAGCAATTTTATAAAAGTAAGCTTGAACTTTCGATCATGTCAAATA